TGTGTGTGTGTGTTTGTGTGTCTGTTGTGTGTGCGTGTGTGTGTGTGCGTATATTGTATATCTGTGTTGTGTGTTTGTGTGTGCCCTGGAGGTGGCAGGTGAAGAGGGCTCATGAAAGAGCAGCCATTGTGCATCGTTTAACTGTTCACTCAGATCAAACAGTGTGCGCGTGTGTGTGTCTGTGTGTGTGTGTGTGTGTGTACTATAGTCTCAAGATCAACTTTAAAGGAGACATATGATGCCAAATTGACTCCATATTGAGGACCCCTTCGAAAACAAGATGGTTCATCTCAAGGGGCAATTCCTCTGATTGATAATAGTAAAGAAACTGTGAATGAATAAATATTACAAGAGAGAGACCCGAGACAGAAACTAGAAACCAGAGAGAGAGGGAGAGACCAGAGAGAGAAAGAGAAGCTAGAGACCAGAGACAGGCAAAAGCAAGACCATGAGAGTGAGACCAGAGAGTGAGTGAGAGAGAGACCGGAGAGAGAGTGAGAGAGAGACCGGAGAGAGAGTGAGACCAGAGAGAGAGTGAGAGAGAGACCGGAGAGAGAGTGAGACCAGAGAGAGAGTGAGAGAGAGACCGGAGAGAGAGTGAGACCAGAGAGAGAGTGAGAGAGAGACCAGAAAGAGAGAGTGAGACCAGAGAGTGAGACTATAGAGAGAGAGACCAGAGAGAGAGTGAGACTAGAGAGAGAGACCAGAGAGAGACCAGAGAGAGAGTGAGACCAGAGAGAGAGTGAGAGACCAGAGAGAGAGTGAGAGAGAGACCAGAGAGAGAGTGAGACCAGAGAGTGAGACCAGAGAGAGTGTGAGAGAGAGACCAGAGAGAGAGTGAGACCAGAGAGTGAGACCAGAGAGAGAGTGAGAGAGAGACCAGATAGAGAGACCAGAGAGAGAGTGAGACTAGAGAGAGACCAGAGAGAGAGTGAGACCAGAGGGAGAGTGAGAGAGAGACCAGAGAGAGAGTGAGACCAGAGAGAGAGTGAGAGAGAGACCAGAGAGAGAGTGAGACCAGAGAGAGAGACCAGATAGAGAGACCAGAGAGAGAGTGAGACTAGAGAGAGAGACCAGAGAGAGAGTGAGACCAGAGAGACCAGAGAGAGAGTGAGACTAGAGAGAGAGTGAGACCAGAGAGAGAGACCAGAGAGAGAGACAAGAGAGAGAGTGAGAGAGAGACCAGAGAGAGAGAGAGACCAGAGACAGAGACCAGAGAGAGAGTGAGACCAGAGAGAGAGTGAGAGTGAGACCAGAGAGAGAGTGAGAGAGAGACCAGAGAGAGAGTGAGACCAGAGAGAGAGACCAGAGAGAGAGTGAGACTAGAGAGAGAGACCAGAGAGAGAGTGAGACCAGAGAGAGAGACCAGAGAGAGAGACAAGAGAGAGGGTGAGACCTGAGAGAGACTTCACCATTGTAAATCAATAAAACACCATAAAAGCCCATTTATTTGTCTATAATTGGAATCTCCAACTCTTTGTGTTGAATGAGCTTCAGTCTGTGTCAGAGACAAGAATAAAACTAAAACAACACGAACTATTATTCAATTACTTCACAATTACATCAAAGTGAAACAAATGGAAAATCAAGGTTCTTTTCTCATGATAAAAGCTGCTTCTTTTCTTTAGCGCATTATCAATGTGTTTTTTGAGATATTCCTCCCCAAAAACAACAACAATAATAATAATAACTGGTATTTCCTTCTTTATGACACAGGTCTGACCCGCGCGGCTTCCGTCCCTCAGGCCTCAGACCTGCTCCATCAGCGAGTCTCTGTCTCCATCTTTGAACCAGACTCAGGAAGATAAAGAGAATCCAGACATAATCAGTGTATTCAGTCAGGTCTGCGGCAGAGAGCGGACTGTGGACCAGATATAACACTGACTTCACAATGTTACATTTAGCTTCAGGATCAGTCCCGGTGAAAATATATCAGATTTAAGATGTGTGCAGATGTAACAGATACAGGCCTTTGTCACGTGTTATTTGATATAAACTGTTCTAATTTTGTCATTTATAATAATACTAATAATTAAAAATATTGATAATAATAATATAATAATGTATTTTAATATACCGTGTGTCTTTCTGGAGATACAGTTAAACCAGTGCAAAAGCATTTGTCACCCGCGGCTTCAGCACAGGCCGCGGGTCCAACTCATCCGCTTCTGTCTCATTATTAAAGATACTTAGAGGTAATTTACAAAAGCAGATGTCTCCTTTGGACACAGTCTCTTCAGTGGATCTATTTTACAGATCTGTTTGACAATTCTTCCTTTTTGCGCTGACATTTCCGCTCGTTACAAACGTGTTGGAGGACAATATTATTTCCGCACATGTTTTTGTATTTGTATCTGTTTGTAATAAATTAACACGTATCAAATATAACTTTATCTCCTCCACATTCAGCCCAACAAAGCAGCGGCCTGGAGCTGTCTCTGTCCGGGAGAGAGAGCCGCGGAATGGGAGACGGAGAGCCGCGCTAAAGCAGGCCTTACTGTGTTACATGGTGCTAATATAGTACTTCATATAGAGCTACACCTGTATTTTAGATTCATTCTATATTAATTCTCACTTTGCTGCAGCTGCCTGAATTTAATAATACTAATAATTATACGAACACAGCAGAGTTCATTCATTGAGTTTGTTATTTCTCCAGCAGCTCGCGCACAAAGGGCCTGGATCAAAGCAACAGCATCAGACACTGCACTGGTGCTTTACATCGACATATATTTGATAAAGAATCAGAATCAGAAGTAACAATGGACAAGAGCCGCAGGGGATTTGCTTTGGCTCCGTGCAAACGAGTTGCAAAAGTAAAAATAGATTAAAAGCGTAAAGTATTTTCGTGACATTTCTTGAAATTACAAATGCGCCCTAAATAGACACAAGGTTTAGCGATAAGACGCATGCATTTACAGTGTTCTGCGTGTTCTCCCCGTGTTCTCCCCGTATACAGCTATACTATAAAATAGAAAGCGCGCTCTCACGTCTCTCTTTAGATCCAACCGCTTCCTGAGAATCCTGAGAAAACCACATTTCTGACTCTTGGAACAAAACAAAGCACATTTTACTGTTTGGTGATATTTGTTGCCGATCCGCACTATAATCTCACGCGTAAAGGCCTCAGTTGGACTCTTGGTTCTGTCAGTAAAGCTCTGTACGGGACCGCTGCAGCGCACGGCAGGATCAGATGATGATTATTACACACAAATAACTACACAAAAACACAAACAAGAGACAATCCGCGGCAGATGCGTGTTTTTGTCGCTTATCGTCACAGCAGCAGCCGCTCATGAACGGAACCCGCGTCTTTCTTTGGACACTTCATAATTTGGATTTGTTTTTTGGACAACATTATTTAAAATACAACTGGGTAAGGTTTATTTTTATTTTTTTTACCAGTCCCACTCATCTCTCCGTTTGATCCGTGGCTTAGAACCAGCGTGAATTCTGGGCCCCGCGCCGTTTTCTCTAACAAATCCTAAATTTAAGATTATGCAGCAGTAAATACAGCTTCATGTAGAATTAAATAACTCAACAATTATTTAACATTTGTTTAAAAAAATCTACTGAATATTGACCCCGCGCAGCAGTTTTTCATCAGTTTGATCTGGGACTTGCAGTGCGTTAACAGATAATAAAGTGCTAATTGCTCGTCTATAATTAGCTTTTAATTGGTATTTATGAAGCACTTATCAGTCCTCATGATATGGCCTTATTCAACATCTAACTCATGTGGGTGGTTAAGTTTAGGGGACAATAATTAGCACTTAATTAGCTCTCAATTAGTGGGGGCTAATCTAAAGTGTGAGCTCATACATGTACTTATAAATATAAATGTACTCATACTTTTAAGAATACATTTGATTCCTCGCAGTGATTCAGTTGGAGACTGAGAACTCACTGCGGTTTCTTCACATTCTGTCCGAGTGTTGAGTTCATGCAGTTGACAAAACAGTTGTTTAAAAAGTGAAATCGGTTTGGTTTATTAATGTTATAGTATTGTCCCCGTGGAAACAATGGTCAGGGTTGTATCCCACACTGTTTAGTCTGAACAGAGCACTTTAATGTAAAGCGCTTTGGGTGACCTCGGACTGTAAAAAATGCGCAACATAAATAAAAATGACTTATAATTACTCACTAACTAATTAATACTGACTAGTTTCACACTTTTAGGCTTGTTTTATGTACTTTTCCGGTCCACGCTGGGGACTCCACTTGTATTCTTATGTGATTTTATCTGCAAATGGCAAATAAACTGAATCTGAAACTGAGACCTGACTGAGAGAGTTAATGATAAAATATAAAATACATTTGTATCTGAATCCTTTTACCCGCAGCCCAGTACGCATCGGCCTCTACACAGCAGTACTGCAGCTGTATTATGACAAAGCAGTGATTTATAACGAGTTAGTGAACACGAAGGTCACTGAGCTCCTCCATCCCTTTGATCCGCGGCTTCTAGAACCCGTGCGTAAAAGTCATGGATCACTTTTGGACTCCGCTTCTTCCACATCACAGACCTTTATCTGACTATATCTGAGGGTGTGAGTTCCCGTAGCAGTTATTATCGCTTGATATGAAATGAAAACACAGATAAGTTATTTAAAAGGGGTTGGAAATCTACTGGAAGTGTGTGTTTAACCCGCGCGTAAAAGTCTGGGAGTGTTTTTGGATCCATTAACAAAGGCTTATGTGACACAGCTGTATTATAACCAAAAACGGTTATTTTCAAAGGTTAGACAAATCTACTAGAGGTGAATACTGTTCCGAGCCGGCTTTGTGATCAATGGCGCGCGTAAAAGTACTTTCAAAGTTTGGAGACTTCTGAGGGACCGCGAGCAGGGTTGGTCCTCACGCGCATGCTCTGTGACTTTGATCCGAATTGTTAAATGTTTGGTCTGAGTGTTTAGATCTATGGACACTATGGGATCAAACGTTCTGAATCCGAGAAATAGCCTTCAATCCTCCATGTGTCTGGACCCCTCTGTACTCACGCAGTCCTGGTCCCGCGCCTTGACGCTGCGCTCGTGCGTGGGACACCGGCACGCGCCCTGGGTCCGGCCTTGTCTTCTGTCCCGGTCCCGGTGTGAAAGTCCCCTCGGTCTCCACAGTCTCCACAGTCTCCACAGTCTCCACAGTCTCCTCAGTCTCCACAGTCTCCACAGTCTCCACAGTCACAGTCGGAGCTCAGACTGGAGCCCGCGCGCGTGAAGAAGAGCTGTTTGATCCGGGGCGCGCGCATGAGGGCACACGGGAGCGCGCGGGAGGAGGGATCACTCTCAACGATACGATACACGATACACAGCAGATTTAATTAAAGCCGAGGGACGTAACTTTAGTCTCATTGATAACAACAGTTTGTCCAACAGACCGCGACACACTTCATCTGATCAGAAACATGTTTACTTCTGAGGAAGAGAGATCCCTGAGACTCACTTTCTGACTCTTTGGGCTGAGTGAAGTGGTCTTCTCTGTTTCACTTTTCTGTCTGAAAAAAACGTATCTAAAGATGTGACAGAGCCAGAACCAGAAACATGGGTTTAATACGAGTTCTGTTGGTCTGAAAGTTACATCCCCCAGCGTTAAGTATTTCTTGTAGTCTCTCTAAATATTCAATTCTTTGATATTTACAAAGACAGATCTGTTCTTGACTGAGCTTGGGAGCTCATTCACATGGGAAGAGCTCAGAGTAGAGCCTTTGCATCTCCGATGGTCCTGAGCTTTGGAAAATGAGCCATCACTCTAGAGCTCGGAGTAGAGATACTGTTCCTCAACACGGAGATGAGCAAAAAGGCATAAAGAGCAGATGGACCTTTGCAGACGACTAAAACATGACACTGGTGGAGAAAGTGTGTCCAGTGCCAAAGGTTGGATTGGTTAGGAATCCTTGTGTATTATTGTTCTGACACATCCGTCTGTGGATAGAGTCCGGAGACAACAGGAGCGGACCCAAACCCATCCCCTGTGGTGCCCCATGAAAAGTAGCACATAAGACCTGGTTCAGTTTAATAAAGGAGACTATTCATGCACATATCTTACTTGTAAATGTTTTTTTTAATTAGGAGTGTGACGTTTTGGTGTTACGCCTTCATGAGGACCTGGTTCAGACCCAGTTCAGAACTGGTTAAGTGTGAAAGTAGCCTGAGGCAGGTACAATGTGTTCATGTGTCTTTTGTGTTTTGTTTTCAGTTGTAATGGGACATGGGTGTGTGTCTCTGTGTATGTGTGTGTGTGTGTGTATGTGTGTGTGTGTGTGTTTGTGTGTCTCTCTCTCTCTGTGTTTATCTTTCTCTGTGTGTGTGCATGTGTCTCTCCTGTATGTGTGTGTTTGTGAGTCTCTCTCTCTCTGTATTTATCTCTCTCTCTGTGTCGGTGTCCGTCTCTGTGTGTGCATGTAGTCTCTCTCGCTCTGTCTCTCTCTGTGTGTGTGTGTGTGTGTGTCTGCAGCTGCGTTGCTTTGGCCTCAGGGTTGTACAGTATCTTTGTGCCGTTTGGGAGCGGCACTTATGGACTATTAACCAAATCACAGCCGTCGGTTTGATCTGATTCAACAAAACACAAAGGATTCTATATCTGTTTTAATTATGTTTTTTCTGTGACTGTAGCATCCCCTCTCCCCAGACACCTCCCATTCTGTCTCTCTCTCTCTGCTTCTCTCTCTCTTTGGTCTCTCTCTCTGGTCTCTCTCTCTCTTTGGTCTCTCACTGGTCTCTCTCTCTCTCTGGTTTCTCACTGGTCTCTCTCTCTCTCTCTGGTTCTCTCTCTCCTTGGTCTCTCTCTCTCTGGTTTCTCACTGGCCTTTCTCTCCCTAGTCTCAGCAGGTTTATATCTGGCAACAGTTGAACTGGATCTGTCTACACTGTCCCAGACCCGTGGGCCGGACCCCTTTCTCTGCTGAGGAGTCTCATCAGTCCTGGATTTAACGAGCTGGTCAGGACTCCTGGACTCTGTGAAGGAGGTGAGGGTGCCAGTCAGTCACCAATGGCGTCTATGTGTTTGTTAGTATTGTTTTTCCTGTGTTTAAACTGGAAAATTTGAAAGTTTGATTCTCTGATCTGATTATTGTGAATCCACAACATTGGAGCTGGTCCTGGTCCAGTGCTGGTCCTGGTCCTGCTCCTGGTTCAGTGCTTGTACAGGTGTCACAGATAAAGTGAAACATGTAGAATAATGTCGTCATCAGTGATAAACGTGTTTGAGCAGCTGGAGAATCAGAGCTGGAATTCAACCCAAGACCAAGTCCAGTCCCAGTCCAAGTCCGAGTCCATGCACAGGTTGTGTCTAACCTCAAAATCTGCCCATTTGTTATGTCCATAAACAAACTGTGAAGTGAAAGTTTTTAAGGGTCTGACTCCACCAGCTGCACATCTAGAGATTGAAGGTTTTTCCCATTCCTCTTTACATAACAGCCCTCACAGATGTTCTCTTTTGTTTAGGTCTGAACACCATAATGTCCACTGATTGGTCAGTCCTGAAATGGTCCTATCTGGATTCACAAACACAACATCACAATATAAACAGCAGGATTATGGAGATTGATAAACCACAGATTTCAGCCCAAAATGGTGATGTCACACAACTAAGCTAGAGGAGTTTACTTTTACATGGAAGTCAATAGGAGCCAGAGAGAGGAGCCAAACTTCACCCTGAGTTCACCACGGGTTATCATTGTCTGTCTGTGTACAGTCTATGTTCATAAAGGTAATTCTTTTGGCCACTGTTCGAACATGTACTTCTTCTACAAAGCCTCATCTCTGCAGGAGGCGGGATCAGAGCGTTGAGTGACAGCAGCCATGGCCACAGCTTGTGCGCATGCTGGTCTCTATCGCTGGTCTTCCTCTGGTCTACCTCTGGTCTCTCTCTGGTCTCTCTAGTCTATCTGTGGTCTTCTCTGGTCTCCCACAGGTCTCTCTCTGGTGTCTCTCTCGAATCTACCTCTGGTCTCTCTCTGGTCTCGCTTTGATCTTTCTCTGTAGTCTCTCTGTAGTCTCTCTGTAGTCTCTCTGTAGTCTCTCTCTGGCCTCTCCCTCTGATCAACCTCTCTGTTCTCTCTATATATGCGCATGCGTCAGGCTCGGTTGAGAGCACTATTCCACGTCAGTATGTTTACCAGCGGCGGGGCGCCAGATCTGTGATTTTCCTGCACTTTGGGTCCAAACAACTGCACACAGAGACAGGTTTTAATCCCAACATCACGGAACATATACAATTATAACAGAAATTGATCTGTATTGTTATAACACAGATGAGCACACAAGGCTCAGTGTGGAGTGGATTAAATATGACATGACATGGCTCAAAAATACATGGTGGATATCAATGGACTGTTTTAGCATCTCCCACATATCATTTACATACTGCTATATGTCCGCATAGGTTTCCTATGGGTGTTCCAGATTTCCCTACCACTAAAAACATGTACAACAGGTCTGAGAGACCAGAGAGATAGACCAGATAGAGACCAGAGAGAAAGAGAGACCAGAGAGAGAGACCAGAGAGAAAGAGAGACCAGAGAGAAACCCGAGCTTTAAGAGGTAAATATGACAATACAGCAATAATGGAAGCGCTCTTCCTTTGATTAAACCAATAAAAACCCACAAAGACAAGTAATATTTATATATTATACACTAGATTAACTTTGTATGATGAAAGAATTGTGTTTTTGTCCTTTCCACGTCCCGGCCGCGTCTTTCTGTAGTGTGACGTGGCGCCCCTTGCCCCTCCAGTTCTGTCAGAAGCTAGCCGTGTTTGAAGCTCCTTTTCCTGCAGGATGAGTTGGTGTCCCGCCCGGTAAACGCTCCGGAGCCCGTGAACGAGGAGCAGAGACACCGTGGGACCGCCCGGTGCCTGCGAGACCCCCGAGAGCCCGCTGTTACCCCCGCGGGGGGCAGGCACGTCCTCCCGGCTTCATTCACACAGCCGCAGCTAGGCTGACGTTAGCAGGCTGAGCTAGGCTAACGTTAGCATCAGGTAAAACACTGCATTGGACAGAATAATGATGAGAATATTACACTTAAAGGTGTTCTCCTCTCGGAGCCTGCGCAGTGTGGGCCTCTGTCCGCGGACACACAACAACACCTCCATCTTGTCTAATTATGATGACAGCGACTGGCATTAATAATTACCTCATGCATTCAGCCAACTCAAAGAAACAAACAAGATAGAAACAGACAAGGCAAAAATAGCAAACTATCACAGTACATTGAAGATAAAATCATTTGTTGCAGTGAAACAGAACTGTTTATGCGGGATTTGAACATTGTCACAGACTAAGCCTCTATGGGAAGTTCTATGTCCTCCTGTAGACCTGGGTCTGGTCCATGTCCTCCTGTAGACCTGGGTCTGGTCCATGTCCTCCTGTAGGGTTGAGTCTGGTCCATGTCCTCCTGTAGGGCTGAGTCTGGTCCATGTCCTCCTGTTGGACCGAGTCTGGTCCATGTCCTCCTGTAGGGCCGAGTCTGGTCCATGTCCTCCTGTAGGGCCGAGTCTGGTCCATGTCCTCCTGTAGGGCCGAGTCTGGTCCATGTCCTCCTGTAGGGCCGAGTCTGGTCCATGTCCTCCTGTAGGGCCGAGTCTGGTCCATGTCCTCCTGTTGGACCGAGTCTGGTCCATGTCCTCCTGTTGGACCGAGTCTGGTCCATGTCCTCCTGTTGGACCGAGTCTGGTCCATGTCCTCCTGTAGGGCCGAGTCTGGTCCATGTCCTCCTGTAGGGCCGAGTCTGGTCCATGTCCTCCTGTAGGGCCGAGTCTGGTCCATGTCCTCCTGTAGGCCGAGTCTGGTCCATGTCCTCCTGTAGACCCGGGTCTGGTCCATGTCCTCCTGTAGGGCTGAGTCTGGTCCATGTCCTCCTGTAGGGCTGAGTCTGGTCCATGTCCTCCTGTAGGGCTGAGTCTGGTCCATGTCCTCCTGTAGGGTTGAGTCTGGTCCATGTCCTCCTGTAGGGCTGAGTCTGGTCCATGTCCTCCTGTTGGACCGAGTCTGGTCCATGTCCTCCTGTTGGACCGAGTCTGGTCCATGTCCTCCTGTAGGGCCGAGTCTGGTCCATGTCCTCCTGTAGGGCCGAGTCTGGTCCATGTCCTCCTGTAGGGCCGAGTCTGGTCCATGTCCTCCTGTAGGGCCGAGTCTGGTCCATGTCCTCCTGTAGGGCCGAGTCTGGTCCATGTCCTCCTGTAGACCCGGGTCTGGTCCATGTCCTCCTGTAGGGCTGAGTCTGGTCCATGTCCTCCTGTAGGGCTGAGTCTGGTCCATGTCCTCCTGTAGGGCCGAGTCTGGTCCATGTCCTCCTGTAGGGCCGAGTCTGGTCCATGTCCTCCTGTAGGGCCGAGTCTGGTCCATGTCCTCCTGTAGGGCCGAGTCTGGTCCATGTCCTCCTGTAGGGCCGAGTCTGGTCCATGTCCTCCTGTAGGGCCGAGTCTGGTCCATGTCCTCCTGTAGGGCCGAGTCTGGTCCATGTCCTCCTGTAGGGCCGAGTCTGGTCCATGTCCTCTGTAGGGCCAGTCTGGTCCATGTCCTCCTGTAGGGCCGAGTCTGGTCCATGTCCTCCTGTAGGGCCGAGTCTGGTCCATGTCCTCCTGTAGGGCCGAGTCTGGTCCATGTCCTCCTGTAGGGCCGAGTCTGGTCCATGTCCTCCTGTAGGGCCGAGTCTGGTCCATGTCCTCCTGTAGACCCGGGTCTGGTCCATGTCCTCCTGTTGGACCGAGTCTGGTCCATGTCCTCCTGTTGGACCGAGTCTGGTCCATGTCCTCCTGTTGGACCGAGTCTGGTCCATGTCCTCCTGTTGGACCGAGTCTGGTCCATGTCCTCCTGTTGGACCGAGTCTGGTCCATGTCCTCCTGTTGGACCGAGTCTGGTCCATGTCCTCCTGTTGGACCGAGTCTGGTCCATGTCCTCCTGTAGGGCCGAGTCTGGTCCATGTCCTCCTGTAGGGCCGAGTCTGGTCCATGTCCTCCTGTAGGGCCGAGTCTGGTCCATGTCCTCCTGTAGGGCCGAGTCTGGTCCATGTCCTCCTGTAGGGCCGAGTCTGGTCCATGTCCTCCTGTAGGGCCGAGTCTGGTCCATGTCCTCCTGTAGGGCCGAGTCTGGTCCATGTCCTCCTGTAGACCTGGGTCTGGTCCATGTCCTCCTGTAGGGCTGAGTCTGGTCCATGTCCTCCTGTAGGGCCGAGTCTGGTCCATGTCCTCCTGTAGGGCCGAGTCTGGTCCATGTCCTCCTGTAGGGCCGAGTCTGGTCCATGTCCTCCTGTAGGGCCGAGTCTGGTCCATGTCCTCCTGTAGGGCCGAGTCTGGTCCATGTCCTCCTGTAGGGCCGAGTCTGGTCCATGTCCTCCTGTAGGGCCGAGTCTGGTCCATGTCCTCCTGTAGGGCCGAGTCTGGTCCATGTCCTCCTGTAGGGCCGAGTCTGGTCCATGTCCTCCTGTAGGGCCGAGTCTGGTCCATGTCCTCCTGTAGGGCCGAGTCTGGTCCATGTCCTCCTGTAGGGCCGAGTCTGGTCCATGTCCTCCTGTAGGGCCGAGTCTGGTCCATGTCCTCCTGTAGGGCCGAGTCTGGTCCATGTCCTCCTGTAGGGCCGAGTCTGGTCCATGTCCTCCTGTAGGGCCGAGTCTGGTCCATGTCCTCCTGTAGGGCCGAGTCTGGTCCATGTCCTCCTGTAGGGCCGAGTCTGGTCCATGTCCTCCTGTAGGGCCGAGTCTGGTCCATGTCCTCCTGTAGGGCCGAGTCTGGTCCATGTCCTCCTGTAGGGCCGAGTCTGGTCCATGTCCTCCTGTAGGGCCGAGTCTGGTCCATGTCCTCCTGTAGGGCCGAGTCTGGTCCATGTCCTCCTGTAGGGCCGAGTCTGGTCCATGTCCTCCTGTAGGGCCGAGTCTGGTCCATGTCCTCCTGTAGACCTGGGTCTGGTCCATGTCCTCCTGTAGGGCTGAGTCTGGTCCATGTCCTCCTGTAGGGCTGAGTCTGGTCCATGTCCTCCTGTAGACCTGTCTGGTCCATATCCTCCTGTAGACCTGGGTCTGGTCCATGTCCTCCTGTAGGGCCGAGTCTGGTCCATGTCCTCCTGTAGGGCCGAGTCTGGTCCATGTCCTCCTGTAGGGCCGAGTCTGGTCCATGTCCTCCTGTAGGGCCGAGTCTGGTCCATGTCCTCCTGTAGGGCCGAGTCTGGTCCATGTCCTCCTGTAGGGCCGAGTCTGGTCCATGTCCTCCTGTAGGGCCGAGTCTGGTCCATGTCCTCCTGTAGGGCCGAGTCTGGTCCATGTCCTCCTGTAGGGCCGAGTCTGGTCCATGTCCTCCTGTAGGGCCGAGTCTGGTCCATGTCCTCCTGTAGGGCCGAGTCTGGTCCATGTCCTCCTGTAGGGCCGAGTCTGGTCCATGTCCTCCTGTAGGGCCGAGTCTGGTCCATGTCCTCCTGTAGGGCCGAGTCTGGTCCATGTCCTCCTGTAGGGCCGAGTCTGGTCCATGTCCTCCTGTAGGGCCGAGTCTGGTCCATGTCCTCCTGTAGGGCCGAGTCTGGTCCATGTCCTCCTGTAGGGCCGAGTCTGGTCCATGTCCTCCTGTAGGGCCGAGTCTGGTCCATGTCCTCCTGTAGGGCCGAGTCTGGTCCATGTCCTCCTGTAGGGCCGAGTCTGGTCCATGTCCTCCTGTAGGGCCGAGTCTGGTCCATGTCCTCCTGTAGGGCCGAGTCTGGTCCATGTCCTCCTGTAGGGCCGAGTCTGGTCCATGTCCTCCTGTAGGGCCGAGTCTGGTCCATGTCCTCCTGTAGACCCGGGTCTGGTCCATGTCCTCCTGTAGGGCCGAGTCTGGTCCATGTCCTCCTGTAGGGCCGAGTCTGGTCCATGTCCTCCTGTAGACCCGGGTCTGGTCCATGTCCTCCTGTAGCCAGCATGTAGAGACTGAACTGAAGAGGTTCCAGGATCAACCTCCAGGGCACTCCACTGGTCACTCACCCAGTTCAGTGTGAGAAGTGAGGACCACCCTGTCTTCTCACACCAGAGAGCGAGACCAGAAGGGAGACCAGAAAGAGGGAGACGGCTCCTGGTTCATTCACAATGTTCGTCTTGATTTAGATGAGATCTAGCTTTATTCACAGATTTAAGCCCAAAATCGTGTGTGACACAATCATTACTGAGAAAGAGGAATTACCTTTTACATGGAAGTCAATAGAAGCCAAAGAGGGGAGCCAAACTTCACCATGAGCACTTCCTTTATTGATCAAGTGGGTTAGCATTGAGCTATCAGGTTAGCATTGTGCATTTATATACAGACTATGGTCTACAGGAGTGTGATGGTCTAGTTCTTCCCATTCCTGGTTCTCTGAAGTTCTGGTCTCTCTCCTCACAGCAGCTTTAGAATTGTACTTTCTAATAATAAAGCCACTTTATGAAACCTCATGAATACATCAGAGTGTAATCCATGAGCTGCTGGCTCCTTCTGTCCATAATCCACAATAATCCACATTTATCTGTTTAAATTCACTCTGACTTTCATGACTTGGAGATGTCAGACCTGTGTTTGCTCTGTGTGAACACTCAGCCATACTGTATAATGTCGACTTATGCCAGACCTGGGTCCTGCTCTAGTCCAGACCTGGGTCCTGCTCTAGTCCAGACCTGGGTCCTGCTCTAGTCCAGACCTGGGTCCTGCTCCAGGTGTATTGTGAGGTCTGTACACAGGTGTATTGTGAGGTCTATGCACAGGTGTAATGTGAGGTCTATGCACACCGGTGTAATGTGAGGTCTGTACACAGGTGTAATGTGAGGTCTGTGCACAGGTGTAATGTGAGGTCTGTACACAGGTGTAATATGAGGTCTATGCACAGGTGTAATGTGAGGTCTGTGCACAGGTGTAATGTGAGGTCTATGCACAGGTGTAATGTGAGGTCTATGCACACCGGTGTAATGTGAGGTCTGTACACAGGTGTAATGTGAGGTCTGTGCACAGGTGTAATGTGAGGTCTGTACACAGGTGTAATATGAGGTCTATGCACAGGTGTAATGTGAGGTCTGTGCACAGGTGTAATGTGAGGTCTATGCACAGGTGTAATGTGAGGTCTATGCACAGGTGTAATGTGAGGTCTGTGCACAGGTGTAATGTGAGGTCTATGCACAGGTGTAATGTGAGGTCTATGCACAGGTGATGGAGCGGAGAGTCTACATGGTGCAGGGGGAGGTGGGGCTGGTGGTTGGAGCCATCAAGAGGAACTCCCGCTGGAACACACACACTCCTCTGGTGAGAAAAACAACAGAAATCATATTAATGTCATAAAACTGTTACGTTATAATACGTTTAATGATGATTTAAATATTAAGACTGGGAACTGACAGAATTGTGTGGATTTGATAGTATTGTGATATTTGGGCCACAATCTTAACAATTAATATTCAATATTCTTGCGATTCTTAACATATTGCGATACAGACAGTATTGTAATTAAATTCTGCGATTTTTGTCCCACATTTTAAGACATTAGCCACGTCTCCACTGCAGGACTGGGCCACTTTAACGCCACTCTGCTGTTTATGATGTAATGCAAACTTGCGCAAGCGAGTTTCACGGTAGCCAAAGCAAACCAAGATGGCGGACATAAAGTCAGCAAATTGTATACAAAGTTTAAATACCAACAAATAAAGACACAAATGTCACCTTTAATGCAATTTGAGGCGAGATGTTGATGGTTTCATGTTGTGATGTGTGGGTTTCAAGAGTAAATGTGTAAGCGGTCATTAAGCAGTCAAACCACACTGCTACTGTGTGATCGCTGTCCTCTTGTCGAGTTGTTCTGCCGCATACGTAATTTTACCGATGACGCGTCCTGTGGCTAACACGACAGCTAATAGCTTAGAACTTTGGTTATAATTTCCATTATCAACCCGACAGACCTGCTGTAAGCTATTCTTGGGTTTCCTATGACGTCGGGCAGTGGCGCGAATGACATACGTGGGACAGGACCGGACGTGACGTGGCGGTGCAGTCTGCCGGGTTTATACCATAGACCAGCCATTCCCAAACTCAGTAACACCGAGGCCCCCTTAAAAATCTGACGGGTCTGCGTGGCCCCCCCAAAATAATAACCAAGAAGACAACATTAAGAATAGGCTCTTCTGGTTATTTTATTTTGGGGAAATAGCCTCTGCTACAAACATTGTAATACAAAAATGATTACAGTGGATTATTCAAGTCAAATAATGAACACAAATATTTTAATATTACAAACAAAACATTATAAATTTAACATTAAATAATTATATATATATATATCTTTTTTTTTATGACCTCCCGCGGCCCCCCTGCAGTACCCTCGCGGCCCACCAGGGGGCCGCGGACCCCACTTTGGGAGACACTGCCATAGACTGTACATATTAACGGACGTAGTCACGCCTATTTCCGCCGTTCTAAATAATGGGCCAAAAATTGGGCTCTTTTGGAGTGATTCAAAATGGCCGCGGGGGCTGGAAAATGTGAAAAAACGCATCTGCGCATGCGTCAGCCGGCGTGAGCCCCATTCATTTAAACAAGTGACTTCTAAAATTCACAGCGACTAAACTAGACTGGTCCAGAACACTTCCCTCAGCATTGACACAGCTAATGCTTTATGTTAGCATTGGCTAATTCTTATTCCGGGTCCACCCCCATCGGCCGGGGTGGTATTACAAGCATGTCAGCGCACGTCATTTTGGCCACTTTTGAGCCGGGACCCGCCCCCACTGGTTTATACACAGAGATGTAGTATAAGAAGAAGCGCTAATATCTTAGCTAGCAGTCGTCAGTCAAAATGCCATCTTTTTGTGCGGTGTACGGTTGTAGCAACCGCACGAATGGAGAGAAAGACAAGAGTTTCTTCTGTGTTCCAACTGTGGTCTCATATAAAGAAGGACAATTTGAAAAAAATGACTTGAATGAGGCGGGTGAGGTGGATCAAGGCTTACCCAGATAAGCGCCCCCTGCAGGCCACCCCAATGAAACGCAGCAATTTCTTCTGTTATTTTTTGAGGCATTGCGGCGAAATGAATAAGTATATCAAGACACTGGGGGTTCATCGCAATCCAAAACAATTATGTGAATAGTCCACAGCAACCGGAGCGGTTCCAACCGTAAATTAAATAAATGGGTTTGGCGTAATAAGTTGCTATTGCGGCGATCAAAACTCATGACGTCACCAAGTGGTCCTCCTGCAGTGGAGACACGGACACTAAGGGAGAGGAGTTCCTTTTACCAGGAACTCCTGCGGTGGAAACGCGACTACAACATGGAAGAAAATAAGACTCTTGTCTTCTTTGATATTTATTATGGTTTGTCACAACGAGCAGACCTCATAGTCTCATAAACCTTAAATGGAAATGACCAGAGAAAATACTAAAGTGAAACAAATACTTATTTGATTTAAAAATCACAATACTTTGCTTCTGTATCCATTTAATTGTGTGTGTGCAAAATATCGCGATACTGAACAGAATCATTTTTTTCCCCATCACTATTTGGTTTATCTTGCTTTGATGTAAGTATGACTTAAAACATACATTTAATCTTTTTATGTAATGAAGGGGAAGGCAATATGCATTTTGTTCTTCTGGCTTTTGGGCTCTTGACTGCACTTTGTTGTATCATCTGTGTCTAACTGAACTTATGAGCAATTCCTGAAAACGTGAGACAGTCGCCTTTTACTCCTGTTTCTTTATCAGGATGAAGAGCAAGACCCACTCCTCAACAGCTTCTCTCAACTCAAAGATGTTCTCAACAACATTAAAGGTACAACACAACACACCACACACCACTTGTCACAACACACAACACTGGGAGAGAGCCGATAGAGGAGCTTTGAAATCTGGTTCTTTTACATGCAATATGAATAGAATCAGCCCCAGGATAGACCCTTGTGGAACCCCTCCACTGGCGTTTCTAAGTGATAGAGCTTTTTGAACTGTTACTGGTGGAAAGCAAAAACTCTAAATATAAAGAATGTTACTTTATCTTTAAACACCAAACCTATTGAACCTGTCAATTCTGTGGAAAGACTGGATAAAACTGAGCTTTCCTTCCACTGACTACATGTACAACAGAAAAATCCTCCAGCTCGGATCCTGACAAGACCATCAAAGTCTGGAGATGGTTGCCGGGCGTTGTTACTATGGCAACCACTGCTCCTGACAAGACGCCTAGTGCCATCAGGGTTAAATGCAGAGGATCAATTGCCCTACGAGGATAAATAAAGTGTGCCTTAAGAAAAGAGAGATTTGTTGACCACCACCAGTTTCATCATGTATTTTATGATTTATTAGTGTAGTGTTTTTATGCATAATGAAGTGAGAGCCATGATATTTGTGGTTGTTATGGTAACGTCTGGGTGCGAGGGCTCTGGTGCCAGCGTAGGTGAGGAGTATAGAGGGAATCTGGGGATCTGTGTTTCATTGACAGTTTGTTAGTGGGGTTCTACTGGACTTGTGCATTTTTCCAAAGTGTGTGTGTGCATGTAAACAGTGACCGCAGTTACGCATCAGCACCTCGAGCTCAGCAGCGCATTATGAAGGAACAGGAGCCGCTCTTTAAATCTCCAGCGACAAAGGATCGCAGTCGCTGCAAATGAGAAAGTATTGTTATTGTTTTTGTATTCACACCAATAGGTTTGTTTACACAGTGTCGGACCAGGGGGATATTGATCCTCTTGGTAAAGTTGGGAAAAGTCCTCAACATTCAGCTTAAAAAAGTAGTTTGAGAGAGAACCCCCTCCTCCTCCAGTGGCATAGAGGCTGTAGACCCAGGACTGAGGCTGTAGACCCAGGACTGAGGCTGTAGACCCAGGACTGAGGCTGTAGAATCTAGACCCAGGACTGAGGCTGTAGATCCAGGACTGAGGCTGTAGACCCAGGACTAAGTAAGTAAGTAAGTAAGCTTTATTTATATACCGCCTTTCACAGACCAGAGTCACAAAGCGGTTTACAATTGTTATTTTTTGGGCACTTGTCCTCTCACTCCACACAGAGATGGGAGCGGGGTCGCCGAACAGGAGGCACATGCCAGACCTATTGTACATATTTTTAGTGGTAGGGGAAACCGGAGTACCCGTAGGAAACCTACGCAGACACGGGGAGAACATGCAAACTCCACTCAGAAAGGCCCTGGTCCGGCCGGGATTCGAACCCAGGACCTTCTTGCTGAGAGGCGAGAGTGCTATCCACTCAGCCACCGTGACTGAGGCTGTAGACCCAGGACTGAGGCTGTAGACCCAGGACTGAGGCTGTAGACCCAGGACTGAGGCTGTAGACCCAGGACTGAGGCGGTGGATCCAGGACTGAGGCTGTAGACCCAGGACTGAGGCTGTAGACCCAGGACTGAGGCTGTAGACCCAGGACTGAGGCTGTAGACCCAGGACTGAGGCTGTAGACCCAGGACTGAGGCTGTAGACCCAGGACTGAGGCTGTAGACCCAGGACTGAGGCTGTAGACCCAGGACTGAGGCTGTAGACCCAGGACTGAGGCGGTAGATCCAGGACTGAGGCGGTAGATCCAGGACTGAGGCGGTAGATCCAGGACTGAGGCTGTAGATCCAGGACTGAGGCTGTAGATCCAGATGGAGGGGGCAGGGATCAGGGGCCATATCATCATGCCATGAAACAGACAATGGGACAGCGGGTGAATAGCAATGAACAGACTACAGCTGTCGAAGCGGACAGTGCTGTTACCAGACTTCTCCAGCAGGGGGCTCCATATGCAGTGTCACTGACAATCTGTATTTTTAGTCTTACCCACCTAATCATAAGGTGAATTAACTGTTTTAAGCCTGGCCTTCAATGTAGAAAATGTCTTCTTCCTTGGCGTGGATGGGGAGCAGGAGGCTGAAGTGAGGGAGACTTCAGGGTCTGGCCTAGGTCTGGGTCTCTACACTTTCTGGTGTTCCAATTCAGAAGTAGTTTCCGGTCTGGGGAAGTGACAGTCCTCCTGCAGCTCTCTCCTCTACCCTTTCCACCCACCTGTCTCTCTCACCTCCTTCTCCTTTCTCTCCTCTCTCTCTTGCTCCTAACTACTCTCCTGTCTCTCTCTCCTTGTCCTTCTCCTTTCTTCTCTCAACTCTCCTCTCCTATTCTCTCTCCTTTCTCCTCTCCTCTCCTCTCCTCTCTCTTCTCAGTGTTGTGGTCTCAGTTTGACAGGCAGCAGCAGCTTCAGACCCTCCTCCTCGCCCCTCCTCGCCCCTCCTCGCCCCGTTCTCACTGTGTGTCAGTGATGGATGGGTCTGGGAGCGGAAGGCTCTGAATGTTCTGCACATTTCCTTCTTTCTAAACCTCATTTACACCTGTGCATCCAGACGTGAGCCTCCGTCACCACAGCACCAGGCTCCAGAGAGACCTGGTTTATCCACAACATGGTTATGGTTCAAATCAACAAGAACTGCAAATATCAAAGTTCTTTCAAAACAGAAGTGTCTCTCGCTGGTCGCTCTCGCTGGTCGCTCTCGCTGGTCGCTCTCGCTGGTCGCTCTCGCTGGTCGCTCTCGCTGGTCGCACTCTCTAATGTTTTGTGTTATACGATTATAACAGGGGTCTCATACTTGGTCCAATCAGCTACGTATAAGTCCTGTCTGTATAAGTCCATATAAACCGTTGTAATAACATAGTCTGTCTGTCTATACATCTGTGTGTCTGTGTGTCTGTGTGTGTGTTTGTGTGTGTGTGTGTGTGTTCCCAGCAGTCGCTTAGTAGACAGTCTGGTCTAAAAGCGTTGCGCTTTTGTGATTGAAACGCTCTCACTGCTCCTTTGTGCTTTAGTTTGTGGAAGTGTGGGACCAGAGCGACCTGGGGGGAACCAGGTGTGCACATACCAACGACCTGCACTGCATCAGCGCATTAGGTCCGCTCTATACTGGAAACAAAAAATATGGGCCCTGCATTGTTTTGACAGCTCTTATCTGCACTCTGCTCTCTCTACAGTCCCTCACTCTTGTCGTTTCTCTCTGGTCTCACTGGTCTCACTGGTCTCACTGGTCTCACTGGTCTCTCTGGTCTCTCTGGCCTCTCTCTCTGGGCTAACTCTGCTCTCTAGTTTTTATCGCCTCTCTCTTTGGCCTCTCTCTCGTTTCTTACTGATCTCTCTCTGGCCTCTAGTTCTGCACTCAGCTCTCTACAGTCTCTCACTCTTGTCGCTCTCTGGTTACCCTCTGGTCTCTCTCAGGCATCTCTCTCTCTCGCCTAACTATGGGCTCTCTCTGACCTCTCTCTGTGCTCTCTCTCTGGGCTCTGGTCCCTCTCTGGGATAGAGTCTTCCTCTTGTTTTGACAGCTCTTATCTGTTCTCAGCTCTCCTCTCAAATCTGCTCCTCTGAGTTATTCTTCTTTGTCTCCTGCTTCGCGGCTCCTTCAAATCCCTTCATTTTTATTCATGCGCTCTCCCCCTCCCCAGACGCCTCCCGCAGTGGCCGGTGATTGGCAGGTGCAGCTTGCCGGGTCTAATTTTGCGGTGCGGTCGGAGAGGAGGATTAGGCGATCCCGAGTTCGTTACCTTTCGTGTGGTCGGTGCAGATCCCTGAAGATGGAGCTGACGCGCTAACACAAAGTCCAATCGATGCGTTAGCGTTAGCGCGGGAGGGCACCTGGGTGAAGTCGCATAAACAGGAAACAGATACGGCTTTGTTTTAAGGGTCTGAAGGACGCGCTGTTCTTTATCACAGACCTGCAACTGTGTTTAGCTCCATCCACTTTGATTCCAGGAGCCTCCCCCTCACACAATATGTGCTGATTCTGTTTGATCTGCGAAGCTTTAGATATACCAATATTTACACAGGTCTCTGGTAGGGGTGGGCGATATGGCCTAAAATTCATATCGCGGTATAATTTGGGTCATAGACGGTAGACGGTATATATCGCGGTATAATTTGGTGTGTGAATTTCAATATAGGTCTAGCAGGTTCTTGCATAAAATAGTCAAGATTGTTAATTATTTATATATTAGAATCTAATATATATATTTTTTGAGTTAGAAAATCAGTTGTGAGACGAATAAAGAGACAAATAACATACATTATTTATGTATGTTACAGTAAATACCATTCACTGTAAAAGCAATTTTTAAAAAGAAAAACATATGCATTCATTTAAAATATAAAAAACTCACAAATGTTGAAATCAAAGTCTGTAGGAGTTAGACATGGTCATTATTTATAGTGTCTGAGAGTTTTGTGCAGGTGCATGACTTCAGTAAAAGTTGTTTGTTTACAAAGCTGGTCTTGCCATTTGTTGACGCTCCCTAAGCGCTTTTCTCTGCGCTGGATGATTCAATGGATTTTATGTTAATTAAAACAGGGCATTGGATTTGAACAATTGATGTAAATGGTCATTTAGGCACAAATAATTTTGTTTAACAAAGTAGCTTTCGTGAGATATTGACCGCGGAGGTCTGAATTTGACGCTAACTTTCCCAAACTTCTGCTGTGATGCTGCGGACACGGCACAAGCATGGATCTATTTTGGCTCACGCTGGCGCTTCGAGCCTACGCCCCTTTGACACTGATTGGCCAAAAGGTAGACTCTTAAACTGTGATTACTGTGTGTGTATTTACCTCTGCTGGGGCCGCTGTGACAACAATACATAGACAGAAACACTGTGTTAATGCCGTGCTGTTGTTCGCTGTTTCCAGTGGTGTCCAATAGTGCTAGGCTAATGCTAGGCTAATGTGCTAGGCTAATGCTGCTGAATGCCGGTTTGTTTTGGTCCTTTCTGCTGGCGTCAGAGCCTGCGCAATTTAATGACATAATGACCTATCGCAATATGCCGGTATAACAAAAATCTCTACCGTGGGCCAAATTTATACCGTCTACCGCTTATACCGTTTATACCGCCCAGCCCTAGTCTCTGGTCTCTCTCTGGTCTCTCTCTGGTTTCTCTCTGGTCTTTCTCTGATTTCTCTTTCTCTGGTCTCTCTCTGGTCTCTCTGGTCTTTCTCTGGTTTCTCTTTCTCTGGTCTCTCTCTGGTCTCTCTGGTCTTTCTCTGGTCTCTCTCTCTGGTCTCTCTCTCTGGTCTTTCTCTGGTCTCTCTCTCTGGTCTCTCTCTGGTCTCTCTCTCTGGTCTCTGTAATCCACTGTTGGAGACATTCTCACTAATTCTCTTTTTCCTTTTGTCGTCCGTCGTCACGTTCTTCCAGACGTGTGCGCACAGCTGCAAGCAGTGTTACAGCTGCACCTGTCACATGTGGAGACCAGAGAGAGACCAGAGAGAGATAGACCAGAGAGAGAGATAGACCAGAGAGAGAGATAGACCAGAGAGAGAGATAGACCAGAGAGAGAGATAGAGACCAGAGAGAGAGATAGAGACCAGAGAGAGAGATAGAGACCAGAGAGAGAGATAGAGACCAGAGAGAGAGATAGAGACCAGAGAGAGAGATAGAGACCAGAGAGAGAGATAGAGACCAGAGAGAGAGATAGAGACCAGAGAGAGAGATAGAGACCAGAGAGAGAGATAGAGACCAGAGAGAGAGATAGACCAGAGAGAGATAGAGACCAGAGAGAGATAGAGACCAGAGAGAGATAGAGACCAGAGAGAGATAGAGACCAGAGAGAGATAGACCAGAGAGAGAGATAGAGACCAGAGAGAGATAGAGACCAGAGAGAGAGATAGAGACCAGAGAGAGAAATAGAGACCAGAGAGAGAGATAGAGACCAGAGAGAGAGATAGAGACCAGAGAGAGAGATAGAGACCAGAGAGAGAGATAGAGACCAGAGAGAGAGATAGAGACCAGAGAGAGAGATAGAGACCAGAGAGAGAGATAGAGACCAGAGAGAGATAGAGACCAGAGAGAGATAGAGACCAGAGAGAGATAGAGACCAGAGAGAGATAGAGACCAGAGAGAGATAGAGACCAGAGAGAGATAGAGACCAGAGAGAGATAGAGACCAGAGAGAGATAGAGACCAGAGAGAGATAGAGACCAGAGAGAGATAGAGACCAGAGAGAGATAGAGACCAGAGAGAGAGAGAGACCAGAGAGAGAGATAGAGACCCGAGAGAGAGATAGAGACCCGAGAGAGAGATAGAGACCCGAGAGAGAGATAGAGACCCGAGAGAGAGATAGACCAGAGAGAGAGATAGACCAGAGAGAGAGATAGACCAGAGAGAGAGATAGAGACCAGGAGAGATAGAGACCAGAGAGAGATAGAGACCAGAGAGAGATAGAGACCAGAGAGAGAGATAGAGACCAGAGAGAGAGATAGAGACCAGAGAGAGAGATAGAGACCAGAGAGAGAGATAGAGACCAGAGAGAGAGATAGAGACCAGAGAGAGAGATAGAGACCAGAGAGAGAGATAGAGACCAGAGAGAGAGATAGAGACCAGAGAGAGAGATAGAGACCAGAGAGAGAGATAGAGACCAGAGAGAGAGATAGAGACCAGAGAGAGAGATAGAGACCAGAGAGAGAGAGATAGTAGACCAGAGAGAGAGATAGAGACCAGAGAGAGAGATAGAGACCAGAGAGAGAGATAGAGACCAGAGAGAGAGATAGAGACCAGAGAGAGAGATAGAGACCAGAGAGAGAGATAGAGACCAGAGAGAGAGATAGAGACCAGAGAGAGAGATAGAGACCAGAGAGAGAGAGATAGAGACCAGAGAGAGAGATAGAGACCAGAGAGAGAGATAGAGACCAGAGAGAGAGATAGAGACCAGAGAGAGAGATAGAGACCAGAGAGAGAGATAGAGACCAGAGAGAGAGATAGAGACCAGAGAGAGAGATAGAGACCAGAGAGAGAGATAGAGACCAGAGAGAGAGATAGAGACCAGAGAGAGAGATAGAGACCAGAGAGAGAGATAGAGACCAGAGAGAGAGATAGAGACCAGAGAGAGAGATAGAGACCAGAGAGAGAGATAGAGACCAGAGAGAGAGATAGAGACCAGAGAGAGAGATAGAGACCAGAGAGAGAGATAGAGACCAGAGAGAGAGAGATAGAGACCAGAGAGAGAGATAGAGACCAGAGAGAGAGATAGAGACCAGAGAGAGAGATAGAGACCAGAGAGAGAGATAGAGACCAGAGAGAGAGATAGAGACCAGAGAGAGAGATAGAGACCAGAGAGAGAGATAGAGACCAGAGAGAGAGATAGAGACCAGAGAGAGAGATAGAGACCAGAGAGAGAGAGAGATAGAGACCAGAGAGAGAGATAGAGACCAGAGAGAGAGATAGAGACCAGAGAGAGAGATAGAGACCAGAGAGAGAGATAGAGACCAGAGAGAGAGATAGAGACCAGAGAGAGAGATAGAGACCAGAGAGAGAGATAGAGACCAGAGAGAGAGATAGAGACCAGAGAGAGAGATAGAGACCAGAGAGAGAGATAGAGACCAGAGAGAGAGATAGAGACCAGAGAGAGAGATAGAGACCAGAGAGAGAGATAGAGACCAAGAGAGAGATAGAGACCAGAGAGAGAGATAGAGACCAGAGAGAGAGATAGAGACCAGAGAGAGAGATAGAGACCAGAGAGATAGAGACCAGAGAGAGATAGAGACCAGAGAGAGATAGAGACCAGAGAGAGAGACCAGAGAGAGATAGAGACCAGAGAGAGATAGAGACCAGAGAGAGATAGAGACCAGAGAGAGATAGAGACCAGAGAGAGATAGAGACCAGAGAGAGATAGAGACCAGAGAGAGATAGAGACCAGAGAGAGATAGAGACCAGAGAGAGATAGAGACCAGAGAGAGATAGAGACCAGAGAGAGAGATAGAGACCAGAGAGAGAGATAGAGACCGAGAGAGAGATAGAGACCGAGTAGAGAGATAGAGACCAGAGAGAGATAGAGACCAGAGAGAGAGATAGAGACCAGAGAGAGATAGAGACCAGAGAGAGAGAGAAGAGAGAGATAGAGACAGAGAGAGATAGAGACCAGAGAGAGATAGAGACCAGAGAGAGATAGAGACCAGAGAGAGATAGAGACCAGAGAGAGATAGAGATAGAGACCAGAGAGTAGACCAGAGAGAGATAGAGACCAGAGAGAGATAGAGACCAGAGAGAGATAGAGACCAGAGAGAGATAGAGACCAGACAGAGAGATAGAGACCAGAGAGAGATAGAGACCAGAGAGAGATAGAGACCAGAGAGAGATAGAGAGAGAGAGAAGACAGAGAGAGATAGAGACCAGAGAGAGATAGAGACCAGAGAGAGATAGAGACCAGAGAGAGATAGAGACCAGAGAGAGATAGAGACCAGAGAGAGATAGAGACCAGAGAGAGATAGAGACCAGAGAGAGATAGAGACCAGAGAGAGATAGAGACCAGAGAGAGATAGAGACCAGAGAGAGATAGAGACCAGAGAGAGAGAGAGACCAGAGAGAGATAGAGACCAGAGAGAGATAGAGACCAGAGAGAGATAGACCAGAGAGATAGAGACCCGAGAGAGAGATAGAGACCCGAGAGAGAGATAGAGACCAGAGAGAGAGATAGACCAGAGAGAGAGATAGAGACCAGAGAGAGAGATAGAGACCAGAGAGAGATAGAGACCAGAGAGAGATAGAGACCAGAGAGAGATAGAGACCAGAGAGAGATAGAGACCAGAGAGAGAGATAGAGACCAGAGAGA